CCGTTATCACACTTGGGATCCAAAATGCGTCTTCTGTGCAGCCAGTTGTAGCAGTGGAGAGAACGGTTTTTTATAGAGAGCGAGCTGCAGGGATGTACTCGGCCCTGCCATACGCATTAGCACAGGTAAAATTGCTTCAAAATATACCGAGTACACTTATTCTAAATAATGTTATGCAGAAATTAATATTGGAAAGCTGCTTACTTGATTAATTTTCATTTCGTAGGTTCTGATTGAAGTCCCTTATGTTCTTGTGCAAGCTATATCATATGGTATCATAGTTTACGCGATGATTGGATTCGAATGGACCATTGCGAAATTTTTCTGGTATCTGTTCTTCATGTGCTTCACATTGCTGTATTTCACATACTTCGGTATGATGGCCATGGGCATGACCCCGAACCCGCAAATCGCTTCCATCATCTCTTCTGCATTCTACGCCATATGGAACCTCTTTTCGGGGTTCATTGTGCCAAGGACTGTAAGTTCTATAGCAACCCATCGATTTTAATGTTCCTGCTGATTTTGTTTTCGACATCAAGTGTAATGCCTGATTTGTGAACATCCTCATGACTTCCTATCTAACAGAGGATACCTATCTGGTGGAGATGGTACTATTGGGCGTGCCCGATTTCTTGGACTTTATATGGATTGGTGGTCTCTCAGTTCGGCGATTTAAAGAACACGCTCGACGACACTGGGGGCACGGTGGAAGAAAACCTGAGAGATTACTTCGGTTTTCGACACGATTTTCTGGGCGTGATCGCTGCCATGATGTTAGTATTCACAGTGCTCTTCGCGTTCGTTTTCGCCATTTCCATCAAGGTGCTCAATTTCCAGAGGCGGTAGACTCCTGCGTCGCATCGATCCGCAAAACAAGCACGTCTCTGTCAGAAAATGAGAACGACCAACGCTCTTAGTTTTGGTTTTCCTCTTTTGCTACACTTATGTTGGTAAATTGGCATCTAATCACAATAGCAAGTAGATGAACGCTTTTGCTTTTCTAGCAACTGTCTGCATCTTTTCAATCATATGAATATTTTTCCGAAGTAAGGATTAAACTGTGAATTGGTTGCTGCAACAGACGAACAGTCTTGAGACTAGAGACTAGATTCAGTAACCAGAAACAGAAATGCATATCATGATCATTTCCCTTTCAAATCACCCATCTCAATGAATGCCAAAATATCGAAGTTAGTCCTTTTAAACCATTTTATTAGACATCTAACCCCTAAAAAGAGAAACCCAATTAGACACAAATTGAAAGTGATAGGATTAGTTTGCTCTTGAATTTGACAATCAATGCATTCTCCTGGGCAATTTTGTCCTTCTGTGTACATGGTCTGCAGATGGTTCAAGCAAATTTATTCTTGGGCCTCAACTTTGGCCCAAATATATTTATATAATAGTGGGCATGGCGATGAGTTTTAGCCCAGTGCCCGACCCGACATATCCGGATCCGTCTATCAATCAGATCTACTCACAACACTTGAAATGAAATTTTGCTAATTCTTTGATTGAGACATGTCCCTCTTCTTTTTGGGCCACGCACATCCCTCTTATTCTCTATAATATGATTTCGTCAATTTTTGTCCTTTTCCCTAGCAGATTTTAAGACCTACGCTCAAGCTCGGGTCCATCAAGGCCGAGGCCCAGGACCCTAAGTCTCGTGCTTGAACTTTGTGGACCAGGGCGCAAGTGCTGAGGATCCAGGCTTGAGCACCGAGGCCTCGGTCCCGACCTCTGTGAACTTGGGCCGAGGTGCTAGGAAGACGTGCATGGGCACTAGATTCACGGCTCTGACTTCTATGGACCCAAGATCGATGCCTGTGCTCTTGCTTGGAACTCAAGTGTCCATGCCCGAGTCCTCGGCGCCTGGGTTGGAGTCTAACGAGACTGGACCCAGTATCCTGGTGCCTGTGTCTACTTCCTCAGTTGTCCATGCGCAAGTCGCTAGCGCCCGAAATAATATTTGTGTATTTAGGAAAATCAAATCATATTTTCATTTTCAAACGACGGGGAAATTATTTTCCGGTTCTTTTTCATATTTTAGCCAAACACCGGAAAAATATTACCATTTTCCAGGAAATGACTTCCTAGAAAATATTTTTCAGAAATATAACATTTTCCGTGAAACAAACAAAGCATTTGTATCTAAACATTTTCGTGGATGATGAAAATATATCCGTACATTCATTTTGTAAACGATACAAGCAATTATTGTTAAAAACAAAAGCTTTTTAAGTCATTCATTTTTCACGAAACAAACATAGCGTTTATGCGCAATAAAAATTCATATACGTTGTAGTACGGTCCGAGTGTCAAAAAAGAATGACAAAAGATGTTTTCAGCTAGGCCAGGCGGCCATGCGCACATCGATCAGGTTAGCCCTGCTCCTTGAGCGTATTGCCCACAAAGACTCCTCATAAACCACACTTGGAAAGTCCAATGGCGTTTTCTGTTTCTGTGGATCTCTTCTCTGAGCAGATCCTCTCTCAAAGTTCTCTCCTTTCCTTTCCTATTGATAATTTACTGACTTAAGCATTGAAGGCCCTCCTAAATTCATTTGCTCGTGGTGTGCAGCTCGGCTAGGTCCACAGACTGTTAAACGGTGGCGGATCGGATTGGTCGGGCATAAATGGTCCGACCCAAATTGACCCATTAACCCGTTTATGGCCCATTTATTCATAGTGTAAATATCTCGATCCATACCCGACCCGACCCATACCCAACTCATACCCGACCCGATCCATATTGCTAAAACACTTTTATATTTAACCTAATCTAAGAATACTTGTTTCTTATGATTTTTTTTTAAATTATACTGCTAAAATATTTTATGCAATACAAAGCTAGTGAAAAAATTTTATAATTTTTTTTAAAATTGAGGTTCTGTTTGTTTTACGAAAAATGCGATATTTCTAAAAAATATTTTCCATAAAGTCATTATCTAAGAAAATAAAAAAAATTAATATTTTTTTTTATTTTTCAAATCGAATTTTTAATTATTTTTTTATTTTTTTATACCTCCGGCCCGGTGGCCGGTGGCCGTGGCCAACCACCGGCCGGAATAAAAAAAAAAGAAAAAGAAAGAAGAGAAAAGAAAAATAAAAAATAAAAGAAAAAGAGAAAAATAAAAATAATTAAATTTCGATTTTTTTAAACATCTTTATAAAGAGGAGATAGTGTGTGGATGGGTCTAAGTGGGTGGGTTGGACATGGGTTCCAAACTCAACCCATTTAGACCCATTTATCTTTAAGCTTTAAAATTTAAAACCCATTTAAGGTTGACTCTTTAAAATTAAAGTGACCCATATATGACCCATTTATTTTTAAATGGGTCATATATGAGTTTAAGACCCATTTTGACACCTCTAGTCCACAGAAAGGTTCGAGCCAGCCTAGGAGAGCTCGGGAAACCCGTGCGTCATCAAGTGCATATATCGGCTACACGCAAACACCCCCAATTTGTGCATCATTACCTGGAAAAACCTAAAAATGTGCTCTGAGATTTTGCCCTTAACTTCGTTTGCACGACGCAACTCAAAACTAAACATAACACCTCCTTAAAACTTTAGTACTCACGGATTGCCTTTGTGAAACTAATGCTATCAAGTTGTTCATACGTTCTTCTTTTCCTAAACACGATAAGGGTCGGATCCACTTCTTTCTTTTGCTTGGCCTGTAATCCAAGGCTTGCTCCGCTTTTGATTTCCGAGTTGTGATTGGACATGCGCATATACAGACATGAGCGGGAGACTGAAGCAAACAGGTACCTCGAAACAATACCGCACGAGCTATATACCTTCAGCAATTAGAAAAAATCAAAGACTCATAGGATGTTTCATTGACTTCTAAGTAGCTGAGTCTTCTCACCCATGCCCTAAATTATCAGAACATAAGCTCAAGGAGATAATTTATACTAAATGCAAATTAGCATCGCTTTTCCATAAGCTGAAAAGGACAATGGATCGGCCGACAGAGTCGCCCTTGATGATTGATGCCGACTAATCTACTAAGCTCGTCATGGCGAAGCAATGTCAAGCCCACTTTCTCATTTGGTTGAAAGATTAGTCACTTGGGATGGAAGCGATGGATTCACAAAAGATCACTTCTAGTTGATATGATCTTGAGAGTATTAGTTTTAGTCGCCTTACTAAAAGTGATGCTGAGATCTAATGTTTTTGTAATTAGTTTTAGTCGCCTTTTCCGACTTAATTAAGCTTTTAACCTTGGTGTCGCTATATTAATTGCCATGGAAATGGGAAAATTACCAAAAAAATTCTAAATCTATTGTATTAGTACCAATTCAATCATAAACCTTTTAATTGTGCCACTTCAGTCTTAATCTTTTGACGATTTGTCAATGTAATCATTTTGGCCAATTTTGACTGAAAAACGCTAACATAGAGATATGTGGTGTGGCCGGCGTTGATAGTGACAATTGTTTTAAAAGTTTTCTCTTTTTTATTTTCCTTTTTCTCTCCTTTCCTTTTTGTTGGTGACCGATCTCAGGCAATAGCCAAAAAGGGCTAGGTGAGGGTCATCCTTACTAGCCACAAGCGATGACCAGCCTCGACTTGGTGAGGGTCGCCTCGCTCGCGATTAGTGAGGGCCTGGATGGGGCGGCCCTCGCGAGCCGCAATAAAGGGAAAAAAAAAGAAAATAAATAAATATATAATTTAAATTAAAAATAAAAATTGCAAAATTGGTCCATATCAGCGCCAGCAATGCCACGTAGTACGCCCAATGTCCATATCAGCGATTTCCGACCAAAATCGATCAGCGTCCTCCACAGTCAATGCTGTTGCCGACCACATACACTTACTACCAATGCCAAGACTTGACATTAGTACCTTACAAGTAATTTCTTCTTGCAAACTTAAGCTCATCAAATGGAGAATAAAATTTGCCTAAAAAGTAAAAAAGAAAAAAAGGGCATCACAAGTATCCTAATGTCTGGTAGAATTTGACAGCAATTGTAGGGGAAAAGCAAGGCCTTAGTAGTAGTAAGATTGTGTAATATCTCATTCATAAGAATATTTTTCCATCTTATTGCATATGTATTACCCAATCATAAATTGGATATCTTCTTGAATAAATTGTACTGCAGTTTAAGCATCGACTATATTTACCCTCCCTTTCCCTTGAAAATTTACTTGGGCACCTCAATCCTTCTCTAACAGCCCTCAGTAATTAATACTACCACTCTACTACCAATTTTTAGTATTGACGTAACTATATAAGACATTTTTTTGTCTTTCAAAAGACTAGCTTGAAGAAAGGTCAGAGCTCGGTGTGAACAATATCCTCCCCGATAGGTCGGAAAGTCGCAGCTTCCTGAGCCCAGCCGATTGAAATTAAGTCCTTATCTTGTGAACTGAGGCAGTCAGCCGAGGGATGCACAATGCCGTAGCCAAACCCTTCAGCGGAGTTGCAGTATGTCTCCACAGTCCCATCCTCGCTTTCCAGGTTTATATTGCTGAGGACGATGTTGCTGCATGGAACGGTGTCGCTGCAAGCGAATTTCATGGCCTTCTCGCTCTTCGTGGTCCCAGTGATGTTCCGGTACATTATCTGGCTTATTTTCACAGCTGACGTCTTCAACGGTTTGGGATATGGACAAGAATGGAAAGTCAGTTTTGGCAAGGTAAGAGGATTTCTGTAGCGTGACCAGAAAAGAAAAGCTAGAGATGACCACTTGGGAGCTTTACCTGATTTTGACACACAGTTGGTGAATCACAGTAGAATTGGTCGATAATGATTGGATTCGCAACATCTTCCATCCTCACATTATCGAACCTTACTGCACGGACATAACCAGATCCACCCTATAAAGAAAGCCAGCGAATGTGTGAGAGTCGCTGTCTAGATTAATTTGACCAAGTGTCGTTGTGACAGACGAGTGAGGCCCACAATCAATCCTTTGGTTTGTTTGAAGGAGCTGGCTCAGAAACACAATCTTGAATGCCTGAAGCTGACATAAGTCAGGTAACCTATGCTTCAGAGTATTACCTGCCAAGTTTTTATTCTCAGTCCATTGGTGGTCTCTCTAAGGAATGCTGTGTCTAGGACCACTTTTGAGACAATGCCGGTTGAGTTGTCCTTCCCAAGGCTTCCAATGCTATTTAAGAGAATTGCAGATGATAAAGAATAAGAAGAAAATCAAGACTCAAATTCAGATGATAAAGGCTTCCATTTTCTTGCTTTCCAAAAAATGTTACTCTCGTGAGTTGGTTAAGGGCACTAGATGTATTCATCTAAAGAAGAAAGTTAATACTGTACCTTATTCCATGTCCTGGTCCACAGAATATTCTCTTCATTTTAATGTTGGAGCTGGCATTGACAATGGAGACGCAATCATCTCCTGAAAGTCACACAAGAAGCACCAAACTTTATTTTCCTTAAAATCACTGTCAATGCTGTCATGTATTTACCATTACGGTATTTCTTTGAACAACCATTTTGCCTTGTTAATAAAAATAACATAAGCATTGATTTCTCATCATTTATGCGTTGCACACTGAGCAGAAAATTGGATTCTAGTAACCTGTTCCTATTTTGCAATCTTGGAGGACAACATTAGTGGATTCAGTGATATGGATTCCATCAGTGTTTGGACTATCTCCTGGAGCCGAGACTAGCACTTCAGATACCCGAACTGAATCAGAGCGGGAAATCACAAAATGCATCTGTTGGCTGTTCTGAATTGTGAGTCCCTTCACCTTTATGGATGAGCTAGAATCAATTGTCAGTGCCTGCAAAAACCTCTCGTCATATTAACTGCATGTACGGTTGGCAATAACAAATCTCATGCCATGAATTTGTTTTCTAGATAGGCGCCACAACCCTATGACGATGGAAAAAGATCCTTACCGTTGGTGCCCCTCGGCAAGGCTGTTAACACAAATTAAAGACTAAAGTTAGTATTATGAAAAACTGGGACAAACATCCTATCAAGTATAATGAAGATATTAATACATTTGCTTTGTTCTTTTTGCAAGATGCAGCCCACCATTTACTGCCTGATCCATCAATGATGCCATTTCCTTGGAAAAGAACTCCATTTAGCTTATAAAAATCGAGCCAAAGTCGTGCAGACTTTGGATCCCAATTACTGGGCTCGTCAGGTGCAACTATTGTCCCGTCTATCTGCAACTCCAATAGGTTCATTCTTAGTCAAAGAAAATCCAGGTGGAGTTTATCGCATTAAGAACGAGAAGAACAATGCAGAAGATTGCAAGCATAATGGAACATTTAAAGATAGCACTTGGAAGATATACAAGAATCCATACATAAGCCTTGTATGGTGGAGGGAACAGATACCTGGATGACTAACTTATCTGAACATGGTCCTTTGAATCGCGTGGCATTGACTAGATAACGGCGTCCTGGGGGCACCAAGAAAACAGCTTTTGGTGTTGCGCAGGCTGTATCCCATGCCTTTAGGAAGGCCTGTACCAATAAGCAACTGGAGTGAAAAAACTGATAACTTTGGATGCTAAATACCAGATAAGGTAGTGACCAGTCTGCTAGACATGCTGTATGTCATATTATTGGACATTTCTCTCACTTGTTCTAATTTTAAGTTATTCCTACCGGTTGATGATTTATTCAGTTTCCTCGAACAAGCATTAGAAAAATATGTAACACATTTTCATAGCAAGCCTCTTGAAATTTAGAGCCAAAATACCATAAAACGATATGTATATGCACCTGAGTATCATCAGATATTCCATCTCCAGCTGCTCCGAAGCTATCCACATTCACCAGGACCTTGCCATCACGGCTTGACCATGATGGAATATTTGCATCTTCCACTTCAATTTCCTCTTCAAAGTGCAAACTCTCGAACTCTTCAAGAATGCTAAACTTCCCATACTCAATCTTGTTTGCTGCTGCATGAACTACTATCAACAAATTAAGTAACAAAATAAATAATTTGTCCATTGTTTTTTTCAGTCTTAACTGCTCCCAAGATGACTGGTTTGCATAAAATGAAGTGAAGCCATGCACTTTAAATTAATGATAGCAGATTAGTTTTCTGAAAGGGGGCATTGGCTTGGCTTGGAAGTAGATGAAGGGGCAGCATTTCCACACTTAAAGTACAAGGGAAATTCTCTGGTCTTTGCTTTACTCTTCTTCAACCAGCACAGGTCAAAAAAGCTTATGGATATTCAAGTCTACTCCTCCACCCCAAAATAAATAGCAATAAAATATCAAATCCACTTTGCACCAAAATATATTTATTTATTAAATCTGCCAGAGAGAGAAATCATATATTCAAGGCTCTCTGTGCTTCAAACAGCGCATGAATTTCTTCATAAACATGTACACTGTGTAAGAGGTCCTGAAATCAAATGGGCACTCTTCATGCTGCCCCCACCACGAGGGAAAAATAAAATAAAGCAAGAACAGATAAAATGACCTACAACAATGAATACCTGGAAAGAATAAGAGACGTCAGTCAATTCAGTCGGGACCGAAAGGCAAATGGCCAATATAACTACTGTCCCATGCATATTCAAGGCTTCAAGCAAAAGCATATTTGCCTTAGCAAACTAATCAAGTAGATGTAGACTTCCACAAATGGTGCAACCAGTACAAGATGCTAATGTTGGCTACGAGTCTTGGCCTCTATTAAACTATGACCAATCTGCCTCGTCATCTTCTTCTCCATGGCAATTTCTCTTATTTGCATTGAGGTCTGATATTCCCCAATTTCACCATAGAAGTTCGATACTTGGAGCGTAACAGCAGGATCACCCAATTCAAACTCTATCAATTTCTCTGCTGCCCTTCTCCCCACCATTTCATCCCGTGGACCCTACAACTTCTCAATAATGAGCTCCACATTGCACAATCAGCTTTCTCTGGTACCTGTTTCAGCAGTTCTTCAGCTTCAGAAAGCAGCCCTGCACGCCCGAAGAGATCAATCATGCACGAATAATGCTTCCGGTTCGGGTTTATCCCGTGATGGAATGTCATATTATAGAAAAGGAATCTTCCTTCTTCAACCAGCCCCGAGTGACTGCACCCCGATAGTGTAGCCAAGAAGGTCACCTCGTCAGGTTTTAGACCCCTTTTAGTCATGGCATCAAGCATTTCAAGGCCTTGTCTTCCCATTCCATTGCGGGCATACGCAGTGATGATCGATGTGAAGCACATGACATTTGGTGAAGCCATATTCTCAAAAACCTCGTGGGAAAGATCTATGCGACCCCATCTTGAATATGCATCAATTAAAGAACAAGAAACTGCAGTGTCTGATTCGTAACCTGATTTTATTGCACAGCCACGAACCAAATCAGAGCTCGTTAAGCTTCCGCGAGCAGACATCGATATTGCTTTCAGCATCGTCGATAGAGAGACTTCATCAAAACCAACCCCCTCATCAACCATAAAACCAAATAACTCAACCACATCTTCTACCATGCCACATTGCAATAGAGACGTCAATAGTGAATTGCAGCAACCAATGCATTTCTCAGTAAGACTCTCAAATGCCGAAATTGAGCACTCGATTTCACCACATTTTCCATACATGTCAATAAGAGCAGATTGAGCATAAACACTCTCCTGATCAAAACCCAATTTTATGGCAAGACAGTGAATCTGCTTCCCAAGATCGATATTCCTTGTTTCACTGGATAAATTCAAGAACCCAACGATTGATCTGACAGAAGGTCTCTGGCCCCAGAACTGCATCCTGGAGAATAATTCAAGAGCATCGAGCAATAACCCGTGCCCCGTGTAGACCGAAACAATGGAATTCCAAGAAATCGCATCCTCAACTGGAACAGAAAGAAATGACTTCTTTGCATCATTTAGACACCAACAACTGGAGTAAAAGTCCACCAAAGAATTTGCAACAAAAATTTGAGACTCTGCCCATCCAGCCTTAATCACCTGACAATGCAGTTGCTTTCCTTCGTCTACAAGCTTCTCCTTAGCACACCCATTAATCATATAACAGAAACTAAGCCCATTTGGCTCAAAGCCATCAACTTTCATCTCACCAAACAATCCAAACAACCGATCTGGTCCACCCACATCACAAAATTCACGTAAAATCAAGTTCCACGCAGCCAAACTTCGCTCCGGCAATTCTCGGATAATCTCCAAAGCGACGTCGACGAATCCCATACGCAAGTAAAGACCAGCAAGGGCACTGCCTATGTACAGATTCGAACTAAATCCAAGCAGAACAACCCTGCAATGAACTTGCGTTCCTCCTCTGTAAAAACTCCCGTTCGTGCAAATACTCAGCACGGTCGAAAAGGTCTGCGCGCTTTCTCCAACTCCTTGTGAAACCATAGTACCGTACAAATTAAGAGCCTCCTCGGCGAACCCATGTCGGCCTTGCCCGGAAATGAGTAAATTATAAGTGACGACATTACGAGCTGGCATTTCGTCGAACACGTCGAGGGCAGAGCGGACATCCCCCGATTTGATCAAATCATCAAGCGCACGGTTCGTGAAGTAAACAGAATCGCGAGGCGAGCTCTGCGGAGCGTGCGCACGAAGGGGTATGCGTCTTGGGGTGAAGGTCGTAATTGTTCTTACAAGGCGAAGCAATCTTTTGCTTGGCATCACCTGGTCGCTTAACTGAATTCTAAGTCGAAAGATGACGATGATTCATGCCTCTAGGATTCGGTTAAAATGGAAAAACAAGAACAAAATCTGAGGGAACTGTCTTTGAAGACAGAGAGAGAGAGAGAGAGTAGGAAGGAACAAAAATAAGGTGAATTTGCCTTTTCTATTATAGAGATCGCAAATTATATGGAACTATCGTAATATTTATAAAAACCGAAAAAGCAAAATTGTAATAAAAAGATAGCATATTCTCTGTTGGTTTAGGAAATAGATTGAAAAGAAAACATATTACAAAATTCGGGAAATAGTGTAGTTATGAAAACCTATAAAAAAATTTTCAAAGATAGATTTAACTTTCTCATGAAAAGTTAATAGATGAGATTGAACATATTGAAAGTTTAGGAACTCGATGAAATATTTAAGAATAATTCAAAAATCATACTGAACGAATTAAAATTTCAGGGATGACGTTACATATTGAACCAGAGTTTTGGAACTATTAAGTGCCCTTTACCCTAAAAAAAACAATAAAAAAAAAATTTTTCCAACTAAATTAGGCATGAGAAACACCAAAGTTTGTTTGGTACAACTATAGCTAGTAATGGCCACTGGGGCTGGCATGACCCAGGCACGGCCCCTTGGCCCAAGTGAGCTCAAGCCGGCCCATGCCCTCGGGAACAAATCGACTAGCCTAGGCCTATTTTCTTAAAATGAGATTCTTTTTAAGTGAAAGTGAGATTTCATTCATTTTGGATACAAAAAATTTTATATCATTGATAGAGTGTTTACGAAAAATATCAAGATGCCTCGATGTACATATCTTTTTCATGTCGACTTTTTTTATGTATTTCTAGATACTCTCATAACGTCTTATATATTCAGTGTAAAATTGTCTTGCCAATACCAAACAAACACAAATTCTTTAATATAGTAAATAAAGAGACTTGATTTTTTTTTTTGGACTAATGAAATTAAATTCACTAGAAAAGAGAGCTTTTGATAGGAGGGACGAAATATATACGAGTTGTTAGAAGAGAAATAATGGAGAAGAGACTGGTTTTTACTTTCTTAAATAGCAATATATTTAAATTTGATAGAAAATCATAAAAGGAAAATGACTAAATTAAAGACACTCTATACAAATATGGAAACCATATAGGCCAATTTTGTCAATCTAAAAAGAACATGGGTGGATTAAGGGTTGAAAAGAGCCCCCACCCAGATACTTTCCGACGCGGCTTCTTCACTTCACAAAAACAAGCATCGTTTTCCTCCTTCAAATAGAGCAGATTGCAGAGTCTATTTTGTCACTGTTCTCTCAAACAAAGATAGGCCTTGAAAGATGGGTAAACCAACAAGGCTCGTTTTGCTGTCTTCCCTTGGGTTGTTATGCTTTCTGGGTGAGGCTATCGATGGCGGTCTGTTTGGGCACTCTAAAGTTCACCTTGTAATCACCAACAATTTGCCCGGAGTGCCGAATCTGGTAGTGCACTGCAAATCTAAGAATGACGATCTCCGCTTCCGTTCGCTCGGTCCTGGTGAATCCTTCCACTTTGAATTTAAACCGAACGTGCTCTTAAAAAGCACTCTCTTCTTCTGCAGCTTTCAGTGGCCGGGTCAATTTCACTACTTTGATGTTTATGTACAGCCTAGAGACGATGATCGATGCCGACACAATTGTTTGTGGAGCGTTGTACCGGATGGTCTGTGTTTATTCAATTTAGATGACGGCAAATACGACATATGCAGTCCTTGGAATTCGCCATCATCAAGACTCCCTTTACCCGGATCCTTGGCATAGGCGCCTCCTTGTCGAGAAATTACTCCATGAGTGTAATAATTCAGATTAATTCACTGAAGAATTTCTTTTCTTTTCAGTTTTCTTGGAGGTTCTTTAATAACTAGGAAAAGGCACTAGAAGTGTCGCACCTTTCGTACGACGCTCACTTTGGTGCCAAAACTTTTCGCCGAATCATTTGCCAACTCCGATTTGGAATGCTAGAAATCAAACGTGGCAATATAAATTCGTCTACGTGGCTCATCGGAGAAATCCAAATCGGCCAAAACCACAGAGAAACAACCTTGTTTTAGCCCTATCGATTAAGAAAAATGGAACAAATGCTAAATCCAAAAAATCGCTAAACCCAAATCAAAACGAAGAAGAATCGAAGCCAATGCAGACAAACAATAATCAAACTAAAGAAAAATAAAAGGATCTCTCGGCCAAGTTCAGTTCGATTTTCCCTCGTTGTTCTTTACTATGGAAAAACCACTTTTCATTAGAGATTATCATTCCATGAGCATAAACCGCGATGGATGAATGAAAACACAATCAAACTGACTCATGAGTAAATACAAAGCGACAAAAGGTAAAACAATCAAACTGACTCATGAGTAAATACAAAGCGACAAAAGGTGAAACAAAAATCACCAACAGTTTCGGTGAATCTAGACACAAATTTGAAAGACACGATTGAGGCAAAATTACTTATCTTCTCATGAAAAACCCTAAACCCTAATTGCTCAGCAGAAGGATATTAGAAGTGTCAAAAGTTGTATACGGCACTCACTTTAGTGTCAAAAGTTTTCTCCGAATCACTTAAATGTCAATTTTTTTGAAAAACGATTATTTTAGTGTCAACTGTAATCTATTTGGCCGGCAATCCAATGTAGCATTTTTTTATTAGTTTCCTAAGCCAACGTGGCTTACCAGAGAGTCTAGTCAGCATTTAAACCCTAAAACGACATCGTCTAGCGCCTTCCCTTCAAATAAGAACTCTAAGGGTGTGCATGATAACCATTCTGTTCCAGAATGAGTTCCTGAAATAGAAATAACGACCAAAAATTTCTATTTCTGGAACAGAAACCCGTTTGATAACAGCACAAAATTTCTATTTCTTAAAACAAAAACCCGTTTGATAAACACAAAATTCTATTTCCAGCAACAAAAATCCATTTTTTTAGAAATGGAATAAAAATAATTAGAAAATCCAAAAAATTCCTAAAAATCTCAAAAAAAATTCAAAAAATCCAAAAAAATTCAAAAATTCTAGAAAAATTCATCACAATTTCCAAAAAATAAAAAAAAAATCAGATTTCGGGAAAATAGGAAATTTGTTGAATTTTTTCAAAAAATAATAAAAAATTTCAAAACTTCATAGAAAGACTTAAAATACATGTGGCCACCCACTTTTAGTGAAATTTAAATTTTTTTATGTGCCCAAAAATTCAAAAATTTCAAAACTTCACAGAATAGTTTAGAATACATGTGCCACCTGACTTTGAGTGAAATTTAAATTTTTAAGGTGCCCAAAAAATTCAAAAACTCAAAAATTTCAAAACTTCACGGAATGGGCAGAATACCGCGCCACCCACCTCGAGTGAAATTTTAATTTTTGGAGGTGAAAAAAAAAATCAAAAATCAAAAATTTCAAAACTTCACAGAATGACTTAGAATATCTGTGGCCACCTAATTTGAGCGAAATTTAAATTTTTTTAGATGCGAAAAAAAGATAAAAACAAAAAATCAAAAATTTCAAAACTTCACGAATAACTTGGAATGCCTCTAGCCACCCACTTTGAGTGAAATTTAATTTTTTTAGGTGCCCAAATGGTATTTTTGATTTTTTTGATTTTTTTGATTTTTTGATTTTTTTTTCAGCACCTAAAGAAAATTAAATTTCGCTCAAAGTGGGTGGCCACAGGTATTTTAAGCCATTTTGTGAAGTTTTGAAATTTTTGCTTATTTTTATTTTTTTCGGCACCTAAAAAAATTAAATTTCGCTCAAAGTGGTGGCCACGGGTATTCTAAGCAATTCTGGAAGTTTTGAAATTTTTTTTTTTTTCGGCACCTAAAAAATTTAAATTTCGCTCAAAGTGGATGGCCACAGGTATTCTACGCCATACGTGAAGTTTTGAAATTTTTAATTTTTGCTTTTTAATTTTTTTTTTGAAAAAATTAAATTTCGCTCAAAAATCGCACGGGTGATTCTAAGACATTCTATGAAGTTTTTAAATTTTTGATTTTTTGATTATTTTTTATTTTTTATTGGCATCTAAAAAAAATTAAATTTCGCTCAAAGTGGATGGCCATAGGTATTCTAAGCCATTTTGTGAAATTTTTTATTTTTTATTTTTTATTTTTTTCGGCTCCTAAAAAAATTTAAATTTCGCTCAAAGTGGGTAGCCACAAATTCTAAACCATTCTGTAAAGTTTTGAAATTTTTGATTTTTTGCTTTTTTTTTCCACCTCAAAGATCGTGACTTCCATATGAACATATGTTTTGAAGAAAGAGTTCTCTCAGAAATGATTCTCATTTTTTGTCTAGAAATAGAAAACCTACTTTTTTTTTTGTTCTGATTTCTGGTTCAGAATCAGTTCTTGAACAAAAAGTTATCCCAAAAATAGAAAAATGATATTGCATTACCAAACGGTTCGTGACACTGTCGAAAACAAGGTATCACGCTACCTAAATCCCCAAATTGAAAGAGAACAAACCCCCCCTCCCCCCCCAAAAAAAAAAATTTCAATCTCTAACTGGCCATTGAACCCAAATTCACTTTCTATTTCAGTTTCCTCCCAAAATTATCAGCTCAATCTTGTAAATAGTGGGCAGGAGCTTCAGCAGCAGCTCAAATTCGTATCAACGAAGCGAAGAAAATAGTGAATGTTACTATTTTTGTGTGTTACCAAGTCTAAGAAGAACATTTTGGACTCGGTTGAATCTTGGGAGAAGATTCCATAGATGCACTAAGTATAGAGAAGGCTCGAAGTACAAATATTTTCAAATGGGTCCATGTGAAATTCTCCAATCGAACGACAAAGGTGATCTTGGAGCTACTTGAAGGACGACATCAGTTTCCACCTATATTAATGAATGAGTTGAGGATGTTGACTCAATGCAAGCTGAAATAAAGGCTTTAGAATCTCTAGCCAACCATTCAAAGAATCAAATTCCAAGGATGACAATTGAAAGAAAGTTTTATCAAGCATTGATTGTGTTGTTGTTCTCTTGTATAGCCTATTTTATGGTTAAATGTAAAGTGGGTGATGAGAAGAAGTTTCTCAGTTTACCATAATTGAATATCAGTGGAATATGTACTTGTATTGGGTAATTTATAAGTATTGTTGTGTTATTAGTTTGTTGCAATCTTTATATGGAACAAAAGGTTTGCTGCAATATATGGTGGAAATGGAAGGTTGGAACTCGTTGATTTTAAGCACTTACAAGTTCTCTAGCTTAGTTGTGTATTCTTAATCTTGGTTTGCTTAGTTTTTACTTGAGATGTTTGGTTTGCTGCAATGGTTTGCTGTAATTTTTGCTAGTAACGATTTGCTACAAACACCGGTCAAATTAAGGAGTGGTAACAAATTCCTGAGTGATTATTTCAGTATCATAAGTAGTAAATAGTGATTGTTTGAGTGTCAAGTTTTGTTGAAAGTGATTACCTAAGTGCTAGTCGTGTTTAAAAAATGATCACTTAAGTGCCGATCATGGTTAAAAAGTAATTACTGAAGTGCCAATGTTGGTTTCACTTCTACTGCTGTTGACTTATCCAAAAGTGATGTTGTAATCCACTTATGCCTCTTTTTCAGCTCTTCTCTCTCAATCTAGAGCTAAATCAAGATTTGGATGCTCTTCTATCCCAATCTAAATATAGATCGAGGATTTACAAGTCCTTATATGTGCTCTTTCAACTTGTTGGTGTTATTGTTCTCTATTTGGTGATGGTGATGGGGATGCCAAACTTATGCCCGTTACTATCTCCGAGGAAATTTTGGCATATGCTCATTTCTAAAGATGATGATGCGAGATTTAGTGATCGGTCGCCAGTTGTGCTTTGATGTTATGACAAATCCGTTCTAGTGGAATGATCAAATCTCTGTAGGCTTTATTAAGTCAATTCATTTTTCATATTTACTTGCTTTGTGGGATTTGCATTATTGTCTTGAAGTTATGTACCTAATTTTTGCGTGAAATGAAAATTTTCCATCCTACCGAAAAAAAAGATGCTCAAATTCCAAATGGCTTAAACCGATCCAAACAAAAATAATAGAGAAAAAGCCTAAGAAGCTCCCGGACAAATTCGACCAGGTTTGAGTGGATTCTTTTTGACATTCCACTAATTATAATGAAGAATTTGGAAGTGATCATATTAGTTGGTTTTGTACAATGGAAAAGATTTAGAGCCACTTTTGTTTACCCTCAAATCTTGATCGAAGTATCTTTTTTAATTCCCCGCATGATTTCATCATCCTATATGTGAAATTGTGACTTCGACCCCATCCAAATTGGACAGTCGCGATATCCAGTAACTTGATTGTTCGGTTTGGTCAAATCAGGTGTCGTGAGAAAGCTCTCGCAAAGCACCACCCAGTCATACCTCTTGATCGCAATTTTGACCAAAATGAATTTCAGTGAAATCCCGGTAAAAAAATTAGGTTTCTACACCAACCTAATATACGAAATTCAAATAGGCAACATCAATATTAAATGTCTAATCTATATTTAAGCAATCCTGAAGAAACTTGCAAATCAAGAACATTTCGAGTATCTTAAATTAGCCAAGTGATCAAACATAATTACACAACCATTCTAAATTCCAAATCCTAGATTATTGAACCAATTGGACAGTAGATCTTCAGCAAATCTCGATGCGATCCCGATTGTCTCCACATCGATTCTTCTTGAGAAACTTCAACTTTGACGCAAACATAGATTAGGCCTGCCCATTCCAAGTGTTTCTGACCAACTCCTCCTCACTAACTCATCATAACACTAGATGATGATCTGAAGTTGTCGGCCTTGGTAAGAAGAGTTGCTGAAAATCACAAAAGTCCCTTATACTGGTGGGATACAACGTGAATTCTTTTACAACTTGCAAGAAGATTGTTCGTGCAATTGCTTCCCATACCCAAGCAGATCACAGACAAGAAAAAGCAAAACAAGACCGAAAAGAAGTCTGGATACATTTTGTCTGGACGTCAGCATGATGATGCAATGGCTTCCAAGAGGGAGGCTACGAAATTCATCTGAGTCTCTTCATCGATTCTTGAGAAGGGAGGAACGTGCACAAAGAGAGATCTGCTACCCCTCCGTTCTGCAAGCCGAAGAGAGTGGTAGTAGACGTAGTTGCAGATGAAAAGGCCAGCGTCGTTCGAACGAGTCACGTCATAGCCCTTCTTCTTCAAGAACTTGAGGATTGCTTCCGTAGAGAAGGAAGTCTTCAAGAATGTCATAAGAATACAGGATTTACAGGTCGCAGACAAGAAATAACATTACTTCTCATATAAATTTGAAAATTAGTCAGTTTACATTTCCAGAAATAACGTGCTGCAAGTAGTGCGATGAGTGCTTGCTCGCAAAATGAATGACATAGAGCTAGCCAATTACTTTTTGAGAAGTAACACATAAGAGATAGTAACATGGGCGGTCTCTAAAATTTTTTTCAATGTCCAACGTACTATCTAAACTCTTTTTTATTCAGTTTAATCCCTGAAATTTCAAAAATTCACTCAATGTAGTTCTTCCATTAAGTATGCCGCCACATTATCTACATTAATTCAACATGAATTGACACCACGTCAGCATTTATTGGGCCAAAATAATGACATGAATCTAACGTCAAGTTAAGAAAAATTATGGTCATGTGACTTACGGTATTAGAATTTTCAACAGAAGGACTACATTGAGTGAATTTTTAAAAGTTCAAGGATAATGTAATCAACTAGATCTGTCTTGAGTGTTGTGCTTTCTAGAGACTAGAATGGTAACTTTGTCAGATTACACTGGTTAAATGTGCAAAAAGATCAGCAAATTTTATTCCAGTGTTTGGAATTACTACAAACCTGTCTTGTTCGAGAAGTTTGGCCATCTTCAGGAACTATCGGAAGTTGCTGAAAGAAGCAAAGGCGAAATTGTGAGAGCACCATCTCAAGGACAAACAACCACGACCAAAAAAAAAAAAAGGGACAAACAACGGCAAGAGAACTGTTACGACCAATGCGGAAACCACAACAAAATTAAAACTGAGAAGAATAAAAGAATACATAGATTTACATGGAAACAACTTTCAGGAAAAACACGAGGAGAAGAGAAGCAAAATCCACAATGAAAATTCAATGATTACAAAAGGTGGCTCAAAAAACTTAAAGATTCTTTCTATCTCTATTTTAAACCTAATTACTGGAAAAAAAAACAACATTTATACTGCTCCATACCGCAGGAGCGCAGCCTCTGCACCCCCGCCGAGGATTAGTGTTGGGCTACAGGCTTGCCACTACCAACACTGAACCTCCATTTTTTCTTCTCAAGTCAGGTCGCCACAAATTTCAATTTGGGTATCAAAACTCAATTTGAGTCGAATACCCAAGACATACTCAACAAGAAAAAAAACCGTATTAATTAGCAAAGAGAGGCATCCCAACCTGAGGTTGCCATCCTAGCTCGTCCGGACAAAAAAAAGTGGCTTCGTTAACCGCCCGCCGCTCAATGGCAAACTTATGAGCACCGCTATTTACCCCCAAGTGAAGCTGCAAATACACAGTCGCATTCATAGCAACTAAAACTGTACTTTGGAATCACTAGACTAATGCAAGAATATCAAATTAACTTGTCTTCCCTGCAATAACCTTCTGCAAACTACATGCACATTCAAAGAAACACGACAAGATCATCACACTCGCTACTCAGTCAATCCTAATGAAAGAGCCACTGTTACTAGTACTTCTTCGGCTGCAATTATATAAGTCCTTCTTGCTACTTTTGCTGATTGCAAACTACATGCACATTCAAAGAAACATGACAAGATCATCACACTCACTACTCAGTCAATCCTAATGAAAGAGCCACTGTCACCAGTACTACTTCCGCTGCAATGGGCTAATATAACAAATTAAATGTACCAACAGCAGTTAACTTATCATGATATATATGCATTGCTTGTCGATCTCATTGAATAGTTAAGAAGCGTCCAAAACTAACCCACACAACTTGCGCATCGCATGTCGAACCATTACTCGAGAAGCCAGATTCCAGAACTTTGAAAAGCATGGGAAGTGCACCATCACCTGCAACCTCTAGTACGGTGCAGGTCCCAAAAGTCACTCCAGGTGGTAGCCCTTTCTTCTCGACAAAACTTTTCAGATTATTAACAATAGTCTCTGTGGGATTTTTGGGGACACCTTGAAATTTCTTGAATCCAGTTACATTTATTGTGACGGGCTTTGGCCCTTCAGACCCCATCTCGTTCTGAACCTGAATGCAATTTCCAATTTTTGATGATCTGTGTAGAAACACTTGGTTACCAACTAGACCTTGAACAACCAATCAAGACCCGAGCAACCTGAAATGTCAAGATTACTTGTCCAATCAGTAAAACAGTCGTCAGATTTTACATAAACAATGGAAATTTTTGTGCAAATAGGTGACTGAATCACAATCATATATTTGAGGCAGACCAATAGACCCAATAAAGGATTCAAGAGTTAAACTGGTGCTATTTCATCAGGTGGATCCTGAGATAAAAAAGCTCATTGTGGTGTCAGACAGTAAGATTTGTCTATATTACGTTATGCTCTTCAGGTACAATTGTGTTCAAATAACAAAATCAAAATCATTATGGTCTCAAACTCTTGCACGAAGTTGATGCAACTGGGGGCTCAGACAGACTAACTGCTCCTCTTATTGACATAATTCTCTATACAACTATGAATTCAGGATGATGAAACAGATCTGAGAGCGACCGCCAGTCACTCTTTTTATCAGTCATAAGCATCTAGTCTCTTGCAAAAGCAGAAGACATACACGTGATGATGTACAATGGACCAGAATGAATGTGATCAAGAAATTATAGATCATCCCCTTTCCATTCGCACGGCTCGCCTCGATTACCGCAGCGTCACGCGATCTGCTGTTTCCCAGAATTTGAGCCTCAGCCCATTATGCCAAAACTTTAAACGGAAATCGGTGCTATGCATCCTATTAAAGTCTGCTTGGTTCGCTTGCAATATAACATGGGGAGAACCAGAAACCGTAAGCTTCGTGATCAAACGCATCAGTTGAACAATGTAAACCATCAATCCATGACGCTCAAGTAAGAACTAACAGTGTTTTAACGTACAAAGGAGCTCTCACGTCAAACAAACCAAAGCAAAATCACAAGCGTGGCCTAAAAAATACCAAGTGGCAAGTGGTTGAAGTGGAGGATATCGGAGACACGCAGAAGCAATCAAGAACCCAAGAGCAAGCAATTCAAAGGAAGTCAGTCCACCAACTTCGCCAACCGCCCCCAAAAAAAAAAAAAACAGAGGAAAAAATGAAAGAAAGAAACGCAGAACATCCAAGAAAGATGACTAGCACGAGAGCAACACAGACAGAGACTCACACAATCCGAAGCTATCGCTAATTCGCACTGTGCTCGGACTCCGCAAGATTTTTCCTTTCAGGCGACGAACGCTGCTCTTCTTTGTGCTTAACGCTCGTAGTTTCCGCGCCAGCCAGAAGTTTCCCGACCTTCCGTTTCTCGACACGTTTTTCCCATTTCTGTCTCCGTTTCGGGCGTGTCTGATCTTTGGGACTCTGGGTTCATCGGACATGAGACAAAAAGCCAGGCTGTCCGACAGCGACGTCAGAAATGGCCAAACCAAAAGGAAGATCGCCGCCTTTTCTATATTTTATGAAGTGGGGCCTTGACTAGCGGCGCGTGGCATCGCGTGATTGGCTGTTCGCCAGCCCGGGAGTGTACAGTACGAGAAGAGGGGGCCCACCCAGAGAATTATTGCCGGAACCCAAGCTCAAGTTAAGGGGTATGCATACAAAAAAGATGGTTGGGCGAGACTGATGAAAAATTAAGTTTTTACCACAGAATACAGCCGTAATGGCAATTCTGTAAATTATTTGGAGCTGTAAAGGGCAATAGAGTAACTAGGAACTAAGAATGCTAGATTTATTGCAGCGACTGAGATGCTGTGTATTTATTTGATACGTTTGAAAGTCCGTGTGTAAAATTGTTGTGTCGGGAAAAGGTTGTGTTTTTATTTGGTGTTGAATGAATAAAAATTGTTCAAGTCGGCGTGAACATAGGATGGCCGACATCCATATTAGCGATTTTCGATCAAAATTGGCCAGATAGACTGAATTAGCATAAACACAAAAGGTTTATGATTCAATTGATAAAAAAAAAAAGAGGTTTAGAACTAAATTGATAATAATTTATGACTTTTTTGGTAATTTTCTCCTGATAATACATATAGTTCTTCAAAATGTAACTGAATGGACCCAAAAACTTCATCACATTATTAAGATGGTTGAGGTAATATAATCTAGTTTGATGCTTCTATTTGGCCTTCATTGTCGTATGGCCGGTTTCATGGACCCACCCAAGAATTAGACCAGATAAGTAGTTTGATTCCCGAATGGGTCCAAGAACCAGTGGGAGTTAGGGGTGAGCATGGTCTGGGTGGGCAGTTCTCACCCTAGAACCAGGAACCGCCCACTAAAGACCGATTCCAAAAAATTGGAATCGGAAACAGCCCATTGAATTTATGGATCCACCCGGAAATCGAACCGCCGGTCCGGTCTGGTTTCCAGGTGGGTCCATAGAATTGATCCCACTAGCCAAGGACGAAGATGGAAAAAAGGAGACGGAGACGGAGATGAAGAGTCGAAGACGATAAGGTGAGCATTGACCAAGAAGAGAGAGAGTGAGAGTAAGCGTGAGGTGAAAGCGAAAAAATGTGTTTCTCAGCTCAATGTGAGGCGGTAAGCGTTGAGTGAGTTAGATTTAGTTTAGGGATTTATGATTTTTCTTTTTTTAAAAAAATTAAAAATTAAATAAATATATTATATTTATTATTATATTACCAGTCCGGTCCGGGTGGGTGGGCAGGTGAGCGATTCCACACCTGAAACCGGGAACCTGATCGGTACCCACCGATTCCCAAAAATTGGAACCGGTAACTAGATCGATTCCCTTAGGAACCACCGGTTCTGGGCGATCCTAGGCAGTTCGGGCGGTTCCCAGTTCTTTTAGACACCCCTAGTGGGAGAGCATGATAACCATTGTATTTCTTGTTTTTCATTTTTCTGTTCACGGTAATAGGTTTGGAACAGAAATCCTTATCTATCACATTTCTATTCCAGACTCTATTTTTGGAACAAATTTTTACTCTAGAAATAAGTTTTGAACAAAATTGATAAGTAAAAATTTTCTACTTTTTTATTTCTCAAACAAAAGAAGAAATAAAAACTCTTCTCATCACTTGTCTTCACCTCTCGACGGCCGCCGCTTCCTGTTGCTGACCACCGCCCGTCGGTGAATGGAAAAAAGTGTAAGAGGGAGAAATTTTGTGAATTTCTATTTTGAGAAAAGAACTTTTGTGCCCATATCAAACGCGTATTTCTATTCAGAAACTCATTCAAATAAAAGAATATAGAAAAATCTATTTCTAACTAGAATGATTATCATTCACGCCCTGAATGATTCATAGATTTAGTCAAATGGGCCCGTAGTCGTGTCCGATCGTGTCATGCTATCTTCTCCCCTCTTTCTTGTATCGAACAAGGGGGAGGGAAAGGACGCAAGTTAATGATATTCAATTCTCAATAAAAAGGATGGCTAAAAAACGAAAATTCAATAAAAAGAAAAGGAGAGAGGGAGATATTTCTCCTCGTCCCACATCAAAATAGGGTTAATTCCAAAAAAAAGCACCAACTTTAGGTCGATGGACAATTTTGGCCCAAATGTTTTTTTGTTCCATAAAAAGCATCAACTTTAGGTAAATGGACAATTATAGCCCGAACTTTTTTTGTCCGTAAAAAGCAACTTTAGGTCGAGGAACATGAACTTTTTTTGTCTCGTAAAAAACACAAACTTTCACTTAAATCTCAAATCTGGCCCTTATTGACTTAAAACCATTGATTTTTCAACTTGACTATTCCACAAGTAATAAATCCACATGACTCTTGTTTGGATTTAAAGCGTTATTCATTGTCTTTTCTCCGAACCACGGCAGAAGAATAACGGTGGCCTTCGTCTCCTTCACTTCACCTGGCGTCAAAAATATCTCAGATTGAATCTTTCGGCCAAACTTCATCGTTTTGTAGTAATTTGGGTTGTAGACCACCGCCCGTCGACAGACGCCATGGAAGAGATTCGCCGGGCTCACCACCATAACTTTTTTCTCAAACGAGGGTAACCCGGACGGAAAGTCAATGGGAGGCCAAATTTGGGATTTAATAAGTTGGTGCTTTTTTATGGAACAAAAAAAGTTCGGGCCAGAATTGTCCCTCGACCTAAAATTGGTGTTTTTTTTTTGAATTAACCCCATCAAAATACAAAAGTTCACTCCCAATATTTCTTTCAAATCCTTTAAATTTTGGGTTAATATTACAAAAAATTTCAAACTGATACGTTTGTGACAAATTTATCTAAAACTAATTTTTTAACTACTAAAAACCTCAAACTAGTATATTTGTAATAAATTTACCCTCCGTTAAATTAGATTAATATCACGAAAAATCACAAATCAGTATACATGTATTAAAATCCCAAATTGGTACATCAGTCAATTGTCACATGTCATCTAATTCAGAAATTTGACGGTAAAATTTAACGAAAATTAACGAAGGGTAAAATTATCATATGTGTACTAATTTAAGATTTTTAATGATCAAAAAATTAATTTATGATAAATTTATTATATATGTATCGATTTGAAATTTTTGGGCATGTTAACCCTTAAAAGTCTCCATGTCTTCACAACAGCAACAGAAAAAACTGCAAAATCTTCCCTTACTCTCTCTGAGGCCCTCCTCCCTCTCTTATCCCGTCCTTCCCTCCTCTTCTTCTTCCTCTGCTCCTCCTTCAAGACCACCACCTCCACCGCCTCCACCTCCACCTCCCATCTCCCATCTCCTCTCTCTCTCTCCCTCTCTCAATGCCAGCTCTCGCCAAACTCCTCAGCCCCAACCTCTTCCCCTCCCTCCCTTCCGACCGCCGCCCGCCACCGCCGTCCGCCACCGCCGGCGCCACCTCCGCCCACCCCCCGCCCATCCCCATCCCCAAGTACCCACCACCTCTCAGGTCCCAAAAACCCCGAAACCCACCTCGTCCTCCTCCAAACCCATCCCCCAACCCCGCCTTCAAGACCCACCACCGCAACTCCCGCTACTACAAGCCCATCAGGCCCGACTCCCCTGTGGTCTCCTCCGACGGCGGCCGCTCCGTCGTCGTTGGCGAGTCCGGCGTCTCCTACCTCCTCCCGGGCGCCCCCTTCGAGTTCCAGTTCAGCTACTCCGAGACCCCGACCGCCCGGCCGCTCGCCATGCGGGAGCCCGCCTTCCTGCCCTTCGCGCCCCCGACGATGCCCCGGCCGTGGACCGGGAAGGCCCCCCTGAAGGGCTCCAAGAAGAAGATCCCGCTCTTCGACTCGTTCGACCCGCCCCCGCCGGGGAAGAAGGGGGTGAAGTACGTGGAGATGCCCGGACCGTTCGATTTGGGGAAGCGCCCCAGGGAAGGGAGGACGAGGGAGGAGATTCTGGGGGAGCCTCTCAAGAGGTGGGAGATTAAGATGCTGGTCAAGCCTCACTTGTCTGATAATCGCCAGGTTAATCTTGGTTAGTGTCTTGAAACTTTTAGTTTACGTTGACATAGGTTGGTGCATTTCGTTTCTTTATAGATTTTGAGACGTGTTCGTGGGGTTTAGGTAGAGATGGGCTGACTCATAATATGTTGGAGCTTGTACACTTGCATTGGAAGAGACGGCGAGTCTGTAAAGTCCGTTGCCGGGGAGTCCCAACAGTGGATATGGATAATGTCTGCCGGCATCTCGAGGTCAGTTTGATGCAATTCCTGTTTTGGGTACGCAGCTTGTGCCCTCCAAAAGATACTGATCATCTTTTGATGTATCGATGCAATTGTTGTTTAGTTACTTACTTTTTTGTATGCAAGACAGTGCTTTTAGTAAATCCTAGGGAAGATCCATCTTTTCCCCAACCTACACGGAGTCTGATAAACATGATAATTGGCGGTTTCCTAATATCCATTTCTTGTCAATGTATGAATAGATAATGTGTGGGTTGGCGCATTTGCATAAAAATATGCGTTTTAGCTTTTAGCTCTTTTTATACTTTTGACCAATTGGAGTTCTTATGTTCTGTTATGCTAATGGTTATAGCCCGAGGATTTGATCTCTGCAGTTTTTGGTGCAATATCAAAGCCATTATTATAAATTACTGCAAAATAGTTGAAATACTAGTATCTTGATTTAGGAAAAGACTGGAGGTAGAATCATTCATAGAGTCGGCGGCGTCGTTTATCTTTTCCGTGGCAGAAACTACAATTACCGCACTCGTCCCCAATATCCATTGATGCTCTGGAAGCCAGCTGCTCCAGTTTACCCAAAGCTTATCCAGGATGCTCCAGAAGGGCTCACAAAAGCCGAAGCCGATGAATTCAGGAAAAGAGGCAAAAAACTTTTGCCAATTTGTAAATTAGGTAAGTGATCAATGATTCATCCGAGCGGCTACTTTACAACAAATCAGATTCATATATTATAACCCCCTTGTTTTCCTGTCTTACTAACAAAGAGTAGTTACCTGTTTGGTGAATCCATTGCTTTCTCTTGCGAGCTAAGTTGATAGACTGTCTGAATAAGTATGTCAATGTTTTCCAAAAGTGCAAGTTCCCTGTTCATGGAAAATATACTTCAATTTGTATACATTTCGTCTTGTCTTTACATTTCATGGCATGGTCTGAATTATGCATTAGGGGTAGGTTCTCCCTGTGTTTCAATTTTTTAGCTTATTTTATGAACTTGTACACAACCCTCATGGGTTTCATCTTGATGAGTTTTTGATGGTTGGTATGTACTTTTGCAGCTTTTAGTTTTGAGTTTGTGAATTTCTTGTCTGATCTGCATGAGAGTATGTTTCTGCAGCAAGATTAAGGCTGTTTAATTCCCGTGTAGTTAGTTCTAACCATTAATTACTTGTCTCTTATGCAGCGAAAAATGGAATATATTTAACGCTTGTAAAGGATGTAAGAAATGCTTTTGAAGGAAGTCCATTGGTGAAGATCGACTGCCAGGGGATGCATGCGAGTGACTTCAAGAAATTAGGAGCTAAGCTTAAGGTCGTGATTCCTATTATGTGCATAATTCTTCCGCATTTGACGTTCTTAATTGTCCACAGAACTTTGTTCATTGGCTGGTGCTTTTACATTTTTTTCAAAACGTACACCTATTTATGTGATTGATATCAAAAGACCTCAAATTGATGACAATTTTCTCTGCTAATTTTCCCGTGGTTTTATAGCCTTGCAGTTTGCCTATCTGTATTTATTTTATAACAAATTTTGTGAAATCAGACTTATGTGCTCAATAGACACAGACATTCTTGGACGCTCCGGCAATCCAGGATGTTTTTTGACTGAGAACTTTAAAATATTCATACTGCTGCTCTTATAGGAAGAATAACCAGCATTTGAGCTCATCGTAGACCGGGAGGTCCCATGAGCTAGGTTTTTCCCTCCTATGTTCATGTTCCTTTTGTATGTTTGTGACATCGTATTAGCTGACAGTCCCTCTATTCACTCTAGCTTAATTTTTTTTTTTTTTTGCCTGAAAGTTACAAGTTCCAAGGATTTTACAGACAAAATAGAGGTTGAAGGAATTTTTCACAGGGTTCATCTTTCTGTCGGGTGCTTCCGTTGGAGAATGAGCATATATTATCCGCTTCACTTCTGTGTTTCTTAGAGTATTCTGTTACCGCAAGAAGTTTCTTTCTTGACACTTAACTCCCTTCTTTTTTCAAGCAGGATTTGGTTCCATGTGTGCTGCTTTCTTTTGACGATGAACAGATATTGATGTGGAGGGGAAAAGATTGGAAATCTATGTACCCAGAACCAACAGTTCCTCTTGCTAAAGAAGGTAACATCAATACAAGGCTTTCGTAGGCAATAACATGTAATGTATGCATTAACTAAAGACAACGGTGACTTTTTTCTAGTCCTCGAGAGTGGAGTTTTGTCGTAATGAAAGTCATTAGCCTAGTTGCCCATTGTAGCTCCAAGCTATGTAACTAGGCATTGAGGAAAGATAAATTCATCTGAGCTGCTCCAAAATTCTGTTGACGGAATCACCTGAGGCAATGGAGGAAATCACCAGTACTGTGTGATGCTAGACAATCTGCATATGTGAAACTTTTATATGGCATCTTCACTGCTTATCTGAAGTTCGCATGCTAACAGCTTTGATCATTTCTGGTCACTATGCATCTGTTCTGCCACACTACATATTCTTTTGTCGATCATCTCCTTGTTTCCTTGCAAACAAATTATATTTCTGTTCTGACTGGATCATCAATTTCCAGGCAAAATTGATGATGCTTGCAAGGATAGAGATGTAAAGAAAGTCATTTCTAGCCCTAAAATGACATCCTTATGGGAGCGTGCAATTCAATCAAGTAAGGCATTGTTGCTGGATGAGTTAAACCTAAGCCCTGATGATCTTTTAAAGAAAGTGGAGGAGTTTGAAGGCATCACACAAGCTACAGAGCATTCATACCCTGCATTAGTTTTGTCAAGTGAACGTGCTACCGGTAGTTCAGTCGCAGCATATGAAGATGATTCTACTTCTCAAAGTGAGGACTACAGCGAAGATGGCTTTCCTTTCAGGGACAATGATGAGTATGATGATATTTGCGAGAATGATCCTTTTGAAGAGGCGGACTGGTCGACCCCTCTTGGATCATTACCTGTCGATCGTTTAACGGAGAAGCTTTCCCAGGATCAGAAAAGACCAGATAGTTAACCTTTAAAAATTGAGATGTTAAATTGTAATTTGATTATAGTTGGGCCGCCTTCGATTTTAATCGCATAAAGACAGCCTTATCACCCATAAAATGGATCTGAAATATCATTGATTCAATCCAAAATCTGAGTCTCGATTGTATAGCTAAATGTGTAGCAAGGTTGTAATGTGATCTTTAGGTTATGTAATGAGAATGTTTGTCGACATTGCTCCAACCACAAGCATTTCATAGAATCCGTACATCACAATTTTCTTGAGCAACCCTTGGCATGACCTCGCAACTATGCATACGGTCATTCACGCAGCCAATAGTCCCAGTTTCGCGCACTCCAATTAGGCAAAATACGAAATAATGCTCCAATATGAGGGAAGAAACTGGACACCCCAACCCCATGTCCACTGACATTTTACAGTAGCCGGAAGAGGCATGGCAAATTCCGGCGTGGGGAAGAGAACCCAGTTAAAAGGCCTCAGAAATTCATCTAACTGAAAGAATCAATTCTACCATATTTGGACAATCGCAATCAAAGCCTCTGAAAGATTGAAAAAAAAAAAAGTATCCTCAACAGTTTCCTTCACTGTACTCTTTCCTTAAGCACCTACATAGGAATTTTACAGCTTCTCGATGTTCGTCTGATAATCACAGCAAGTTCACAAGACATCTCATGTCCAAAGGTGCACCATTGTTAGGGCTTTACATGTTCCCTAATGAACTCTTCCACTTGAGTTATTTCTCCTGTCAAACCAGAAGCTTCCGCAACTGTAACCCTGTTATGGCATTGAGTAAATGCAAAAGCTTCTCCTGATATTCCAAGAGTGAAGTCATTGGCAATATCAGCTGCTGATATCACACTTCTTGATGCCCTTAATTTGTCACTGTCAATAAAAAGAAGCAAATCTATAAGAACAAAGAACAAAGGCCAAGGGTTGTGCATCTACAAATGTACAGTATTCATGAATCAGATTACGGTATTATAAAATTGAGTAGAATACCAATTCGTAACTGATCATCAAGATAGATCTTGGTAATTGACATTCTACTTCGTGCCACATCGCTAGTGCTGCGGACTCGTATAACTAAATTTCTATACTCTTTGAAATTTCTTATACTGTATTCACTCATACATGTACTTGTTGATAGAATTACTCGCTTTTAGAGATCATAAACAAAAGATTGTGCGTATGACCACTTTTCAAGAATTCCACACCTACTTGGAGAAAAAGGTTGTCTTTCTAATGGAAGAGATGTAGTTAAGAATGAACTTCCACTCCTTGGGAGATCATCTAACATGGGCAAGTCTAGACAGCCTCTATGCATGGTGCAATGGGTGGTAAAGACCTATCCAGCATGGTAAACATAACTTTTGTGCTGGCAACTCAGCTTAAACGGGTTGTGATTTTTGTATCAAATATCGTTTACCACACTTCATGTTGACTTACCAATACAAAATACACAGTTACCGTATCTTGGATTCGTGAACCACACTAGGGAATCGTACCAACACATAAAATGTCATCTAAATGATAACATCAAGTTTGTTCATGTCAGGCAATATAGTTCTCGTCGACACTGCTTGACGCATGCAAGAAAGTAGGTAATCTCAGCTAAAAAGCAAAGTCATGAATATCAAACCATACAGTTCCTTCTCCAGCTGCTTTCGAATGAACTCCTTAGTATGTGCAGTCACTTTGTCAGTCTTATTGCACAGGACGAGGACGGGAATTTTCTTCTTGACAACACTTGCATTTGTCAAAACATCATACAGGTACCTATATTTTAGATTTTGAGCTGTCAGTCATAATAGAATACATCACAATGCGCCAAGAGCACAAGTTAATCCAAACTATATGGAAGGACGCAGTACATACTCGGAAGCTTCACGGCATTTCGGCAAAAAATCCAGCGCATCAACAACAAAAACTATGCCAGCAGCCAGAGGCAAAACCTCATCTAGTTTGGGCTTCAGACGAGAATGCCCGGGAACATCGATGACATGAACAGGTCTTATTTTGCCTTTCTGGAAGGAGACAGAAGGATTCATCAACATTACAACAAAACAATCACTATGGTATACATGATAACCTCAAGATAAATGGACACATCTCCAAATACCAGACATCTCGGCAGCAGACAACTAATGTGAAGATGTCAAGGCAAAACATCAAGAGCTGTTTAAAGTGATGACAAAAACAGTATCAATACGGTGCAGATGCGAGCATAGGAAAAGTTGATGACCTTAGAGGTCTCAGAGTGCAAAATGAAAGTTCCCTCGTTCGGCTCCATCGAAGTGACAGTGCCCTGATGCGATGATCCATCTCGCAGCTGACATGGGCATCAGAAGGTAAGAAAGGTCTTCAAGAAACAAAAATACTAAAGCAGTAAATCTTAAATATCCATCACAAGCATGCTAAGAACAGAGACATGGACGAGGTAGGATGGCCAAACAATTTCAACCGCGCGCATTTTAACTCAAGAAGGAAGGGTATTCTCAAATTCAAAATCAACTACCAAGAGAACTAGCTCCTCGCAGAATTTCACATGTTGACAAGAACCTACACCACAAGAGCAGAATTTTGCAGAGAAACTCAAAAGCTCAAAAGAGACACAATTCCTAAACTGAACAGGTCACGTAAAATTCCAGGAACTTCATCATAAACCCAAAAAGGGGCACGGGCACAATTCAAAATGCCATTCCCCTCAAGAACCGGCACGACAATTTGACCACACAGGACGCCCAGATTACAAAAAAAAAAAAAAAAGATCTAACTTTTCGAACCGAGAGGCGCACACAAAACACTTTCACAGCAAGGGGCACAAGGGAAAAGGTGCTCACTTGATAAAAGAGAACAGTCTTGCCGCTTCCGCTGAGCCCGGCGAGCACGACGGTGCTGGACTTCTTCCGCTTAAACAACCTAACTGCGAGCCACCCAAAAAAGAACCTACTCCCATCACAATGCCGACCTCCAAAGAACGGGAAAAAAAGAAAAAAAACGAAAAGGGACGCCCCACGACGACCAGCGCTCCGACGAATCGGAATTGCGACGATCGCAAAAGGGGAAGGAACCTAGGGCTCCAATATCAGCGAGGCTTACTCGACAAGAGGAAGAGGGTGGTGAAGGAGAGGACGGCGATGGCGGCGTACAGCTGGGCGGGAGGGATCTGGTGGGCGTGCTCGAGGCAGCGGCGGAGCAACTCGCGGAGCTGGCCGGTCCACCGCTCGACCTGGACCTTCCACTGCTCCATCCCTCCTTCCATTTCTCTTGCGCCCCCTCCACCCCCCGGCCGCCGCGGGCGCTTGCTCGCGCGCTCTGTGCTCCCTCGGAGAAGACGAGACGGCGGACGACGCCGGAGATCGCGCGCGAGAGGAGCAGATCAGATCACAGAGAAGAAGAAGCAGCCCTAGACGGAGACGAAGGAGACGATGCCGATGAGATTTTGGGGCGATTCTCCCTCCGTTTTTTTTCTTTCTGGGAGGGAATTGGGCGAGAAGTTTCCAGTTTAGACCTAAAGGGCACGGGGTCCACGCAGCGGGTCCGAGGGCATAATCGTCATTTCGATCCGTCCTTTTTGGCGCATTTGGTTCAGCTTTGAAAATCTTCTTGGGAAAATCGAATACGGCTGGGTGGCAATTGGAGAAATATAAATGGTGTTTGGTAAAAATATTTTGTAAAACTACTTTGGCCAAAATATAGTGTTTAGTGAATTTTTTGCAAATGGACTTTGGGAAGAAAAAACAGCTAAGCCCTGTACCGGCCCGCCTGGGGTGGACACCTTGGATCTACGAACTTCTTCTCGCCGAAGGAAGGAATTTCTTTTGGGAGAAAATGACACAGAGAGTTTTTAAATTTTTGTTCAATATTAGTCGGCGACCCAGGGCGGCCGGTGCCCGGGTCGCGCGACCTCAGAGAGCGTTTTATTTCCAGGTTAGCCTCTAATTTTATCCGGCGCCGGCCACCTCACGAAGAAGAAGAGATGTACACACGAGGGGCAAAAGTGGATTTTTAGACGAATTTTAAGGGCAAAAAAGGCAACTAACATATTTTCATTAATTGGGTATCAGCATTCCGAGAATGCTGAAAGCTCAAGAGCTTTCAGCCTTGAGAAGGCCAACATTTGGCCAAAGAGTCCCAAAAATAATTTGTCAAACACTCCATAATTCCCCCAAAGGGCTTTGGAAGCTCAAAGCTCCTTGGCAAAGCCCAACCAAACACCCCCTTTGTCCCCTTCCCCCTCGTTTTGAACTTCTTCCCTGCGAGAAGGAATTTTTTTTGGGAGAAAATGACACAAACAGGTTTTTGAATTTTAATTTAATGTATAATTTAGTCTCTGAAATTTTTATTTATTCAATATGATTCCTGAACTTTAACCCAATATATAATATAGTCCTTGAACTTTAACCTAATGTGTAATTTATGCCAAAATTTAAAAATTATTTATGTCATTATCCCTTTTTTTTGGTCCATTTTGGTCCCTGGGACTTACGCCGTTTCTCAAATGTGGTGTCAAGAACATGTGAACTTTTACAGTCCAGTCCCCCCTCGCTCGGTCTCTCTGGAGTTTAAACTAATCGTCAGCCGAAGCTGTAAAGTGTCTACTATTGCTCGTCAAAAAGCAACGTGTGGAAAAGATCGGCGGCACCATGGGATAATATATTTTCGTGGACCCAAAAAAATGCGGGAAGAATTAATCCAAGATACAATTGAGCAAATTTCTCGATAGCTTTTTCATTTGTACGGTGGCATGATTATTATTTCGACATCCGACTTTGGGACACGATTATTCCGGCATTCAACTTTTTGACGAGGCAGATCGACTTGTTAGCTCCGATTTGTTAAAAACCGGCAATTATCGGGACTTGATTGGAATAGTTTTGTGAAATTAAGGGCTTGGATTGATATGAATTGCAAGTTCGCGGACCATGTTGAAAGGTAGTGCACGTTTTCAAATGACTAGGCCAAATATGAATTTTTTTTTTCTTCCGAGCTTATTCCTCTGTAAACATCTGTTTGGCATGACTCTTTTCCTTATTTTATTTTTTAAATGTTGCACTCAAACACTTCGAATTTCACTTAGATAAAACAAATGAAATCTTTCAAAACATATAAATATGATATGTGAATTATTATATAAGTTGTGATGTTTTAAAATTTGAATGTCATTTTTTTCTCTTAAACTACGGTTTCCCGATCAAAAATAAAAAGCTACGGTTGGCTACATAAAAATTTACTTTGAAGTACAAGGAAAGAGGCACATCTCGCTGTGAATAATGCTTTTACTTAATCTTTTACTTTAACCTTCGGCCAGCATTCAACATGATCTAGGCTTTTGAACAAAAGATTAAAAAAAGAAAATGAAAATAGATTAAGTTGGAAATCAGAAGATTAAGTTGGCGGATCGTACCATTCTTGGTTGCGTTGGCAACATTCCCAATTTTGATGTGGTCAAAGTTCCGGCGATCTTGAAAATGCACCTCCATTAATGCTACAAAAGTGTTGTTTAATCTCATTAATGATCTCAACAAGATCGGCTTGGGCTTGCTCAAACAAATTACGAAGAAGTTCATGCCCCCCTTGTTTGAAAACCATAAAAAAAAAACATATATATACAAATGTATATGTACGATTTTCAAAAGAGGAATAGTAGAACTCCCGATATGCTCCGTTTAAATTCATTGTTGTGCCATTTCTTTCGTGCATTAAGGCATGTAAAGGCGGGTGCCGCGCTCCACAGGTATGTAGTTGAGAAGAGAGAGGTGTGATGGAGAAGATAGAAGAGATGTGTATACATACAATGAAAGGAAAGGAAAGATAATTGTGTTAAGAGGTCATTGGACAATGCTATCTCCATTGGACCATGCTATCTCCATTTCCATATCCCTATTTTTTTAATTAAGTCTTTAAAATGAAATTATCAAATAATTTACTGAAATTATAGCATAATTTGATGCTCCGTGAGTTTTTGTGCTTGTGAAAAATACTTAAATCACATTGGGATTGGGACCATGTGGCGAATTAAGTTTCGTTGGATCGCCTAAGCCAAGCCTTCTTCTAGAGAAAGTTTAGAGAATGGAGCTTAGTGAGAGATTGTTATCGTTTGGATGGATACAAATTAAGAGAGAGCACCCTATTTATACAAAAGATCCTCTCATTACCTCCGTAGATTTCCTTTCGATCTAACGGTAGAGATGACATCTTCCCATCCACCAACTACCGACAATTAATATAGGAATTCTCTAGAACATGGTACATTTACCGTATCGCCCGTACCTGAAAATGTTCCGAAAACTAAAGCTGCACACGATTAGTTGCTCGAGGATTTCTCAAAAGTATGGCTTAGATTGTGATGAAACCTTTAACCCGGTGGCAAAGGTTACTACAGTTCAAGTCTTATTAGCACTTGCGGCAAGCAAGTCATGGAAACTATGGCAAATGGACGCGAAAAATGCATTCTTACATGGAGAACTAGATCGAGATATATACATGGAGCAGCCAAACGGTTTTAAGAGTAAGACTCATCCAGATTATGTTTGCAAGTTAAAGAAAGCTCTTTATGGCTTAAAGTAAGCCCCAAGAGCATGGTATGGGAAGATTGCAGAATTCTTGGTGCAAAGTGGTTACTCAGTATGTAACATCCTCAATTTCAGTCCCTGAGAAATGACTATGGTTTAAATTTTGTGGTTTTCCAATTGGAGCTAATTTTACTCTTGTTCTGGAAAATCAAGATTCAGATCCTATGTACCCCTTTCGTTTTGTTATTTTTGTGGAGACTTTTGTGATCCAAATTTCCAAATACTTCCTTCTTAAAAGTTTCTCCAAACATCTTAAAGTTTTACATACTTTAATTTCAGAATTTTTGGAGTCCATTTACTATATTTTCAAGTCCAATTTCGTGAACATTGCAAAACTGCCCGGTTTTGCCAAATTTGAAAGATTCGTCAATTTCTATATGAAAACATTAGAATTTCGGTTTGATGTCTTATGGAAACAAAATCTATACATTCTGAGCTTTTAAATGAGAGATGTGCGGCCTCAATTAAAGGATTGCATAAGAAGCTTCATGATGATCAAGAACTTGGGGAGCAAGTTTTGACTTGGAAGAGTCTAGAGAGTCAAGAACTTGGGGAGCAAGCTTTGATTCTTAAAACTTGGTGAATAAGTTAGTGATTTGCCTATAAATAGGCTTGGTTCCCCCCTTCGTTTCCACACAACACCTCTTCTTCCTCTCATCTCTCACTCTCACGCCTCTCTCTCATCTCTCACCCTCACGCCAAACACTTCTCTCTCTCTCTCTCGCCAATTGCCGCCGCCGACCGCCGTAGACGTTTTCTTGTGTTATAGGTGAGTGAATTCTCTAACACTTGGATAGGGCGGTGTGTTACGTGGTTAGAGCGCGGCATGTAAGTGGATTCCCTAATCTCAGGATAGAAAGTTGTGATGCGTTGTTGGCTTGAGTTCTCACCCGAGCTTTTGTTGAGACTTGCGTGTTGTTGTTTGTCTCGATGTTGCACGCATCGCTTGTTACCATGCTTGATGTTCTCATCTATGCTTGTTGATTTATAAGAGGATAGGATGCGGTCTTACGAGTTTGGCTCGAGTAGTGACCGTGTCTGTGATGCTCAATGTTTGCATGAGTGCTTATTGTTTTCCTTCATAATCGTAAGCCAAGACACATATGAGTCATGAAACAAGGTGTCGTATGGTTTCGTACTCATGTTGTGGCGTCACGGGACGAGTTCGGCTTGGTGCGGGTTTACATTGAGGTGTGTAGATCCAGGCCAAGTTCGGCTCCAAGCCTGCGCTCGGCATGGCGGACCGAACTACGTGCCCTCGATCGCGACCCGCATGTTAGACGAATGTTCTAGAGATCATGATTACACAAGCACGGCACACCTTTGGGCTTGATTGCATGGACTAATGAAATCAAGATAATAAACCGGTTTGTGTGACCCATGATGTGTGATCACTAAATGAAAGAAGAAGACCGTCATCACATAGCATTGGCGGCGATGCCTCGGTAAACTAGCGTCGGGATGCCCTAGTTGAGTTAGGATGCCTGGGTTGAGCCCAAATGCCTCGGTAAACTAGTGCCGGGATGCCCTAGTTGAGCTAGGATGCCTTGGTTGAGCCCGGATGCCTCAGGTAAGCTAGCCCCAGGATGCCTCGGTTGAGCTGGGATGCCTTGGTTGAGCCAAGATGCCTAACATGAAGCTGGATGCCTCGATTGAGTCGGGATGTCCTGGTTGAGACAGGATGACGATAAATGAATCTTATATGTGTGCCGGT